TGGGAATGAACATTATCATTATCATAAAGATATACTTAAAATTGGCGGATATTGATTAATTTTTTAAATCAAAACGGCTTACATCGATTATATAAATCGCCTACTTAGGAGTGGTTAGGATTCAGTGCACATTTAGCTTTGAGAAGATAGCAGTCATTTATTAGCAATATTTATAATTTACGAGAAAAGTTTCGCTGTATTTTAATCATGTCTATGGAATGCATCATCTGTGGTTTGGAATAATCCGCCAAAATGACACCCACAGAATGGACCTGTGTGTCACTCTTTTGGCATGGATAAATGGAGCGCATTGTTGTATTGCAACTAATTAGGGTTTTAGCGGCCCGTGATTGTGACATCATTTTGCCCAAAACGAGAGTTTCGATGCGACATTACTCAACCGACATCTCTTCAAACAAGGTAGCAGTCTGAACGGATGCGGGACATTCTTGCTATCAGCCAGGGCTTAAACGGCCCGGCTCCCAATTACGATGCCATCCGCCACTTCGAATGGGACCATCCTTTTCCTACGCATCTGAAGTCAGAGAACTTAAATGTAACTAGACTAGGATATCCTCATATTTCGTAGCATCCAAGTTGAAAGCATTTGAGAACACCTTTGTTAGCTTGTTCGCGAATAAAAGGCGAACATCATCGTCTCTAACAAGCTTGTGAATCTTTGAGAAGACCGAAAATATATCATCTACCCTAGTAGATAGAGAACAAATATGGCCAAATTAACAACAGGTGTCGACGTTTCAGCTGGTAGTTGTGTAGTCGATGTCGCCCAGCTTCGTCCGCAAGAGATTGAGATATCGCACTGTAGTTGGAATATAATATCATTCCTATAATATCAGCAGTCAAGTCGGCGCTCACGTTTGTCCATAAAAGTGTTTCCAAAACCGTTCGCTAAACCCTAATGCAGTAGCTATATAAACGCCTCTGTTTAGCAATCTAATTATTGGCTACTATAACCGCGAAAGACGAATAAGTTTGCAGCAACAGTTTGCAGGTTTCCTGTTTAAACGTGCATCGCCCTTTGTCACCAACCGTGCAGAATCTCTCTATACGTGACCAGGTTACCGATCTCAATAGAATTTTTTGTCATTTCCCTCCTTAAGCATATATATGTTTATTTATCTTGGTAATTTCTCACTCATCTGTTGGAAATCGGTCAGTGGGGACTTTATAGCCTGAGTGATTCGTGTAGTTGGTTTTCGGGTTCGGTTATCGCTGTTGGGCTTGGCTCTACTACATTCGATCTACCTGCCTAAATTTTTAGCTTCTCCTTTTGTTTACCCTTGACACCAACATTTTAGCTGCACCTGGCTAACCACAGCTCCCGGTTTATACTTATCAACCTTTCAGGTAAAAACATTCTTCAGAATAAACCATAGCGCGAGCTCGTGTAACATGCGTAAGCTAAAGTTTCAGTAGCAACAACTAGACGGGCACTCGTCTGTATGTGCGAGCAACAGAACACACAGTTGCGCAATTTAAAGTGAAGACGCCCGAACAAAACTCCTTCAGCGTCTAGCTTTGGTAAGACATGCTCAAAAAGGTACTCAGAGTGTCGTGCCACAACATACCACAGCAGAATCCCTTGAGTGGGACGTTAACCTCGGCATACGTGCAATTTGCTCTCGTAAGTAACGTATTTTTCAACCTGGGTAAAATATCACATTGAATTTGGCAAGATTTTATCTAGAAGGATGCAGAACGACTCTCTGTGGGGTTTTACGCACTTGCAGAAGGAATTACAGAAGTTGTAGTGCTGAGCATGGCTTTTTGCGCGCATAGCTTGGTGAGTTTATGCGAGCAGGCATTTCAAGTTCGTGAGAGGTGCCAGAAGTAAAAAGCCAACGCAAACCAGCGACGATGAGTACAACAGTTTTGATAACCTCAAAATCAACAAATTCACCAATATATATCACGTAAACCCGAAAAAGCTGCAGGGTAGCGCGCAAAACAACGACTTATCTTTGAACATTATGCTCACCTGAGGGTAGGTGCCATAAAAAACAAGTGTAGTGAAAGATATATGTGAACATGCCACTTGTCTCCGCAACGAATTCTTCCATGTCCATGTTCATTATTTTATTTCTTTGCCCTGGCATTTACTCAACTATCCCAGGTTATTTGTGTCTAACAGCGATTTTTCAGTTTTAGTTTAGGTCAGTCAGGTTCATCATTGAACTAGCCATACCCCACGACCCACTGTTCGTACTTCCCGGTTCCCACAAATACGGTTATTTTTAACGTATTAAGCGCGTTTCGTCGGTTTTAACTTCCTGTACGTCGTTTTGTTGCCTGCCGCGGTTGGATCGTACCAACCCGATCATGCCTCGATTTGCACGTTCTTTACAGCTTGGAGATATTGCGATTAATATTCTTATTACTCTTTTACACGGCGGCATTGGAAACCCCTGGAAGCCTTCGGGAAGCGAGTCGGCACGGGAGCATTCTATCGACCATGGTTTTTATGAATGCATTGCGTTCATTCCCGTTTGCGCCAGCATTGCTTGCATCTCGTAACGCGCACGATATTTTTAATCCTGTATTACTACATTGGGGTCAGACATTGGGTCAGACTCCCGTCGCACGGCCGTCGGCAATATTTGTGCGTCGCAAATGGGCAAACTCGCACCCGTTCTTAGATCTTTGTACGCTAGCTTCATTCTTATTGCAGCTAAATTCGAAGGCATGGAACTAAAATGGAGTCAGTTACCGGAGAAATTCACGTAACCTCAGACCAGCCGGAAAACTGGCAAAACTTTCTCTCACTGGAAAAGCGGTCATTAATAAATTTGCCTTCGTTGCAGTAAAATATTTCATCGCCGCGTCGTTAAACCTTTCATATTCTTTCCTTTTTAATAATCTCTGTTCCGGCACATCATCCAAACTATAAGGAATCCCGCGCGAGAGTTGCACTTCCAACATAATGACTTGGTTATGGTCAGGTGGAAACGCATGAGGTTCCGACGAGACAGGTTGGTCCTTTCCAATTGAATTAGGCTAGTCTGTATAGTAAATGCCGCACAGTCAGGGTTGAGCGCAGACCGAGGATCATCAGTTATGATAAATAGTCAAGGCGGGTGACAACGCATGTGGTTATGAAGACACAGGCACATTGTTGGTCACCGGATGATGGTAACAATTTTGAAAGTTTTTCTTTGCTTGACAGGGTGACCGAGAAAAATTTGCTGTATATATTGCATCCAGGAAGATTACCCAGCTAAACATTATGAAGCCGTGTGCAGCGATTCGGAGGGGCCACTAAATTTCTGCGCGTATCTGTGATTATGCATTATTAAGGGAGATGAAACGTTGTGTCACTATCGCGCAATACGCCGAGTTATCTTTGAACATTATGCTCATCTGATGGTAGGTGCCACAAACACCAGTGTCGTGAAGGGTATCTGTGAACAAATTTAGCCATCTATTACACTTGGAGGGGACTCCTTGGTCGCACAATGCTCTTAGCTGCAACACCTTTGCAAGCGGAGTGAGACCTTTTACGTCAAAATGCTGCACTTTGTTGTGTATATGCTCAAACGGAAAACCACTCCAATCTAAAACCGTATTTTTGAAGCTCACCGAATTTCATCGTACACTAAAGCAATGATGCCTCTGGCGGAAAAATGTTGGTGGAATATTTTTTAGCGTCACCGGGGCTCCGAGACGTCTAGGTTTGGACTGGTATTCTGAACTCAATTGCCTGTCTGCTTTAGTCCATCAGGGACACGTGGTAGCCTTCGGAAATTCAATTCGATTGTGCGAATACTGAGCGCCCATTTGGAGAGTGGATTGGACCCAAACACGATCCGAGAGTCCAGCTGGACAGCGTATGCGTTGAGAATTGTGTGCAGATTATCGTGCATATTAGTCTAGCCACGCACTGTTAAACTTTGCAGTCTTCCCTTATTGACAAAATACTATTCACACTGGAATCGGCGGTATTTGGCGGCCCTGGAATTGTACTCACTTGGAAAAACGCAATCAGCTGCATATCACTGAAATGCGCAGTCAAACTAGATTGATCTATGTAAAATTTCTACTTGAAAGTTCCATTTGCCCCTGTCGATTGGTGTAAAACGTGTCGTAGCAACTTAGAGAGGGCGAATTCGTGCAACCGAGGTTGTGGAAGCACTGCTGGTGTGCCGGCGGCTTGGGTGTGACAGTACCGTCCTGACCACACATAACTTCCTAGATTTACACGTAACGAACGTTACGTTTAAGGGAGCCTAGAAATCTCGGTTTATAGAATGGACTAATTGGCCAATTGTACAAACCAAGGTCGGCCAACGGGCCGAAAGCCACGTAGTCAGCAGTGCGGCAGGCACACTATGGCATCACTAAAGGCTAGTGGTTCTTCGAAGGTGGGTGTTCGCGGCCATTTATGTGGGTGGAAAACAGAGGGAAAGCCAGCGAACTGAAGCCTGTCAAGCATAGCTGCGCATCACAGATACATATAAATAGGCCAAAATGGCAGACACTGTATACTACAGAAGCCAAAACGGGTGGACACTTTCTACGGCCAACAATGGAGGAGTAGATAAAAATGTTCGGACCCAAAACCCGATGTGATAGTAGTATAAGTAAAAAGTGTGCGGGCAGCATAAGATTCGTCCAACGTAACGCCTTCCTTCTTTTAATGAGCCCCAACACGGCTCAAGGTCGCACGAGTTTGGCGTAACTATGAATGCCCAAAGTAACCGCCAATGTAGATGATTTCGTAAAGTGCGGAACCACCGTAAATCAGAAATCCGCAAATGGAACATACGAAAACAAGCCACCATTCTGGACCACGCTCCAAAAAACAAGAACGTCTTGCACAAATACATGAGACATCGCCGCATAAACAAGCCAGCCGCATGCTCCTTGAGGGACAGAAACGGAGAACCGACGAATGACCCAGCAGTGGTATCTGAGGTTTACAGGGAACAATATGTGTGTCTATACTCAGCCCAAACGTCTTCGTTACACCAACTCTTGTCAAGGCGGAGCTACGAACATCCTCTAACCGACTTGATCTTCACGGTGGAGGACATTCGTCAACGCTCGCACAAGATCAAGCCATTCTGCGCTTTGGGGCAAGTTTACCGCCCCGCGCTGAGAACATAGTGAGCAGTGCTGCACCCTTTTTTCGGTTGTGCCTTCCAGGTGAACGACAGCTACTCACAGAAAAGAACAAATGCGACCCTGGAAACTTGTGCCATAGCCCCGGTCTTGTATATCAATCCGTGGATGCGTGAAGGATAGAATTAACAAAGCCCACGAAAGAAATTGCTTCTATGCACTTTGTTGGCAAAGTTAACAGCAGCAGTAAAATGCAGTAGCATCCTAGGTAGTGTCATGTTAACCGGGAAGGTCAGAAATAAGTGGGGCTTATTCGACCGAATCATTGGTGCACACCTCTGCTAAGTTGCTGGGCCTCGTATGTAGAAGTCGTACGTTTCGGCGTGGATCACGTGACTAGTGTCAGCCTATCATTTGCTTCATTTTGGATTATGCATGAATCGGTTTCCCCACAAAGGGGGAGACACTGTACCTTTTACCTTATAAACCGGACAGACTGGTGGATTCGGTGAAGCCAATGAGCTAAATTGATTTAATACACACCGCATTAAATGCTGAAAAGTTCTGTTACCGGCTATCGACACGGTGTCACAATTTTTTGGTTCAAATAATGGATCCACCGGATCCAGCGTTTTCAAACTATCCTCGTCTGGTTTGTCAATATCTTCAGTTGACCCAGGCTTATTCGGGTATGACTGCAAAAATGGCCATATTGCTACAGTCGGTTTTCTCAGCGCGGCGTAATAATTCTATCAGCAGTTTTCACGTCCGAAAACGCTTTGAACCGGGTACTTAATGCAGCTTGGACAACCGTCAGGGGAATGTTCTTCTACGCCGTTTTTTAATTGTCAATGGTGAAAAACGCGTTGGCCAAACAATGCTCAAGCAGCGAATAACTAAAAGGTTGTTCCTCTCGGATTCGGCGATACTCTGGTTGGGATAAGTCCACCATCGCGAGAGGCGTTCCATCATCCACGGATTTAAAGCCGACAACTATTTTTGTAGCATATCTTTGCTTACGTACAGAGAGCGTTGGCTATTTCTTGCATTCTGATTAGACAACTTGGTTGGCGTATTCAAGAAGCGGTCTAACTTAGGCCCCATAGAGTATCTGGAATTCCATACGAGTAATATGGGAGAAGATTCGGCGAACAAATCGTAGAACGGCGAATGTCTTCGTAGCCAATTTTTATGGTGCATCGAGAAGGAAGAAAGGGTAAATCCTTTTTGGCTGTGTCTCCGACGCACTTTTATCCGTTCAGGTAAAGGTGCCAGTTCAACCGCCAACACTTTGCACCGTTCACAACCATTTGTATGACACTAACATTTGAACTTTAGGATTTCAACTTGTACACGGACTTCAAAGAGCATCTGGAATGCCAGTAACGTACATCAGAAACAGAAGTGTTCCTGGAACAAAACTTCAAGGATCTCCGAAGAAAACCGGCACCTGAATGAAAATGGACTAGTCTACTCAACTCGAAATGTCAAATCTGATAGAAAAAACTTGATGAAGCTTAGAAGTTCTCCTTAAATCCCGTGATATAGCGGGAGCAGGCGGACGTGTGGGACTTGATAGAATGCTTTCGAAAAGTGAAGTGATGTTGCATCCGATGTGGGTGCTTCGTCCTTAGCTTGAATTAAGCTGCCCATGAATACGAGCACGTTTTTCATGGGAGGAGTCCGCGTTGCATTTGGGATTTCAATTTGTTGCTACTCAGGTGATTAAAGGTGGCTCGCTTCAGAACGCACTCCATCACCTTGCACGGTATGCTAGTGAAGCTGATGGGCCCTTAGCTTTCGAGTGACAAGTAGTAACCAGTTTTGCGAATTGGCGTGACAATCGCTTTCTTGCAAACAGACGGAAGGTGGCTGACTGAATAAACACAAGGTCGAAATGCTTCGCCAGTGTGAGTGACGTTTTATTTGGGATGCTGAAATAGAGCTGACCACATCTCAACGCGCTGAATGGGTTTATTTTGCGCAGGAGTAGAATAGAATCCCTCTCCGTAAAGGCCAATTTGGCTACAGGCCGTCCGTAGTTGCGTCCTCATGAGAGTGGATGTGAAGACGTCAATGGAGCAGATCTACATAGATCTACATAAAAAATGATCTACATAGTGCACTCCGTACGCTTTAGATTCCGCTGTTGTGTCACTCGTGGGTTCGCCTTCTATGTTTCTCAAGAAAAAGGTCATTGGTTTGTTTCTTCCGCTTTGTCTTGTGTACTTAAATAGTGTGTTTTTGCTTTTTCGGGTGAGATCCAGTATTGTAATCTGTGTGTATGAGTGACTGGTGATATTCCGATGGACTTGAAGAGCAAAGGTGGAACACTCCGGGAAAAAGAGAATCGGTCAAACTTAGTGGGATTTGAATCCAAAGTGCACCGAAAAAGTGCAGAAGTGGCGTCGTAGAGAAAAATCGCGATAAGCTGAGCCACATTAAGCATAAACCAACCCCACCTGCCCTCTCGCGTTCTGAGTCGGCTCAAAAAACTTGAGTAGCCGTCCATCATGATCTCCGTGTCAGAGCCGTATGTTGTGAGCCAGCTTCCTGTGAGTACAATTATGGACGGCTGCTTAAGGCAAGCCGGCCGTTTAATATCGCGAATCTTTTTGAAAAGACTAAGGCGGTTCGTGTACAAGAGCTTCAACACTCTGCTTGCTGGATCCGAAGTTGGGGAGCCAAGAGGTATTCTCCCAGATAGCTTAGAATATTTGATAATTGTAGGGCGGGTTCGGATTCAAATCTCCAAAGGGGCCTCTGCGGCATACAGGTCTGCTTCCTGATTCAGTGATTTGAGAAATGTTCTTTGTTTGAAGACTACTTTGCCCTCTGATATTCCGGTTTGCGCGGGCCCTTTGCCCATAAGAGTCGCATTTGCCTTCGCGTGGTTGACAATTTTGATGCTACTTGTTACTGGTGCAATACAAACCTCTGAATGACTGAATTCGTTGTGGTTCAAGGACTTGGGGTGGACCTTTGTTTTTCTTGGGTTTTGGCGAGGTTTGACCGGCTAGACATCCTGTGTAGCTTTGTCGGGTCCCTTGTGTTTTGGATAACACTACTATTGGGTATTTATTTTCGTGACAATCTGACGAGATTTGTTTTTGCAGATGACCACACCTTAAATCTATTAATCAGCTGTTTAACTGGGCAAAGGTTGTGTGGCTTATTTGACCTCGGCTGCTTCCCTTTATGTTTGTATAGACTCAAGGTCGTCGAAAATTAGCGTATCCAACTGGTGGTACGTGGGATATTTCGGTACTAGGTTGTAAGGCTTGTGGCTCTGGCTGTCGCGGTCTTGAGTGACAACTTTGTTTACAGTCGGACTGGTCGCTTCTGGTGCAGTGAAGCTGGCGGCTATCAGTTTCCTTTTTTTGTGGTTATGCAGCTCTTGTAGCAGTTTCCAAAGCCATGACCAACGCTCGTGGTTGACCTGAGGGTGGACTTTGCTACTTGTACCCGAACAGCTGACCTAATCAAGCATAGAAATTGTGAATGGGTGTGGAGTTTAACCCTGTGATTTTGTCATCCGATAAACGAATAATGAATAATAATTCCACATAAGAGGCTTGCCTACCCCCAATTGTTGCTGTCAGAGTTGGCCAGGCAGTTTCACCCGTAATGTGGTTGAAGTGTCCATCAGTTAATGAAAACACTCGACGGGTGAATGTATCAGCTTGTAAATGCGTAAAGATAGTGTACATAACCCCGTTTATCTGGTGCCGTTTAGGATTTTAGGGTGATTTAAACCAATGGAACAATCAGAGCCTACAACCCAACCTGGATGTGTTGACACAGCGGTACCGGCAGCTAGCCTTATTACAGTGCCAGCGAATTTGTGTTCATTACAATGACCCAGCAGATGTAATGAAGACATGCGGTATTGAAAAGATACACCACAACCACACTATCTTTGAAATCGAAAAACGATGCTTTGGCGTATTATGCAATAGCAGACTCTCATATATATATATGTATATATATATATACATGTAAGAATGCAAATGGGAACGCAAAAGCATAGAAAACCATGTAAGAAAAAGTACCGAAGGCCATTTCTCTTCATATTAGACTTAAGGCAAACCTGAGAGGTTTTGTTCAAACTTAACGTTTTGATTATGCAATAGCTCTCATATATATATATGTATATATATATATACATGTAAGAATGCAAATGGGAACGCAAAAGCATAGAAAACCATGTAAGAAAAAGTACCGAAGGCCATTTCTCTTCATATTAGACTTAAGGCAAACCTGAGAGGTTTTGTTCAAACTTAACGTTTTGATTATCTCGATGATATTCCGGTCTCTCTTTCAGACAACAGGCACATATCAGTTTGGACGCACCCGCCAAGCAAGTCGCCTGATGTTTTACCGTTTCACAACAATTACTACTGGATATGTTAACTTTCAGGGTTCAGAGTTTCATGGCCAATCACTACAAATGAAGAAACAAGTGGCAAAACATATTTGCCCAACTAAGTTATAAGGAACTACATTCAAGAAGTCTAGGAGGACTTCGGGTTTCTTCGCCACGATACTCTCCTTATAATGTGTTGAAATATGTTGTAACGCGCCATCCGCACTTTACTCTTGTTGCTGTATGGCGTTACTTCGGTATCTATTGCCGCTTTCTTCTTCATTTTTCGCCATATTTAATCAGTTTTTTAAGTTTCTTTCAGTTCAGCTGTATACTTAGATGAATTCACAGACTACTTTTGCTTTCATGTGGTCTTTTGCTTCTGTAATTTAGTTTTTACTTAGACGAACCTCTCTAACTTGAATAAGCATTGACCAATAGCAACCAAAAGATTTCCCTATTGTTTGTCAGACAGTTGTGAAACATATTTTCGTTAGGGAACTGTTGGTTGATACTAAATATTTGCTGTTTTAAAGCTCAATTCGTAGTCACCAACTGCCTTCCGATACTTTTAAATCTACAATCCTATATCATAATTATACCTGAACCAAGATTCTTAAGGGTATCTTAAATCAGTATTACTTTGTTTTATAGCATGTCTGCCATAGAGCAAGCCAT